CCCTCTCCGCAAAGTCGTTCACCACCCGTAGGTGACGAGCGCGCCGACGAGCCGTGGTGAGCTTCGGGCTGCCCAACACGCCACACTTCGGTGGCTGAGCGTGAGCGTCTTGCAGTTGCAGCGGCCATGCTGAACGCAGGCACAGCCACGACTAAAGCAATACGCAAAGCTTCTCCTGGCCCAAGAGGAACCGCCGATACTCGGTATCCTAGATATTAGCTCGCCAGTAGGTGACCGTTGTGTGTTAGGCGTGCGTTTGAGTTTGTCTCCGGCTGCTGAGAGCAGCGATGGAATGGTTAGTTAGTCAGGAGGTGATCGTTCGGGCAACATTCAGCCCAGCCAGTGTCACGCATGGCAAAATACACGGTTAAAATACACATGTTCACCCTATTGAGACCAGTTGTTATGGTGGAAACTTTGGCCGCTTTGCGGGACGGGAAAATATCATCAGATCGGAATGAAATTTTGCACAGAACCTTGTACCATAGTATCGACAAGAATTCCGACCCGGCCCGACGAATCCGACAAACTTTTTTTTTTGCCATGAAAATGTGGACCACCCTCATCAACTAAGAAGTCTCAAAAAGGTTGGTGAATCCGAGTCCAAAACCTAAACCACCACTGCCAGGTAATTCCTTGACCTTGCGTCAATAAATGTGCTGCTCTCTGTTCCCATAACTGCCTAGAAGGTATAAATTATATACCTCTAAGGTTTATTTTATACCAGTGGCAGATGCTGGCTTGTCAAGCAGGGGGAGCTCAATTTCGGGCTACATCATAAAATGTGTCCGTTTATTTATACGTGAATACTACTCTCCGTTCCTTTTCAAGAAAATGATCTGTGACCCTGTCAGACCGACAAGGTGTCTTTTCCAGGGTCTTAACTGGGGTGATAGAAGTCAGTCTGCGAACACAAGCAACTACAATAAAACCCACCAGAAATAAAAGATTAATTTGTCGCTAGTCGTTTTCAACAAAGAGAGTGTCGCTCAGATGATTAGAAGAAGTCTCCAGTTCAACTCAGAACAGAATGAGAATTGAAAAATGCTCCCACGGATGCCTACACTAAAAATTCGGTGATTGGCTCATTTCGCTGTCAATCAAAAAGAGATTCAGCCTCAGACAGATCATCCAATCATCATGCAGAAAAGCTGAGCGTCCGGGCCAACCCATAAACGCCCACTGTCCATCGACTCCCAGAGACGCTGAGCGTCCAATGGGCAGGACAAAACCAGCATTTATCCAACGACTCGTCTCGTTTCAATGCATTGGGACAACCTACACTGAACTCTCGAGACGCCCAGCGTCCGTGCTGTAGACGCTCAGCCTCCACACAGTTTAAAGCACAGTGAAGCTGCGGGAATGAATGAGAAGAGAATCACGTCGTAACCAGTCGTAAGAAGCTGTGATTCGGAACAAAAATTGAGCGCGTTGTAGCGCATATTTAGTCAATGACATGTACACACATTTGTATGTGTACATCCAGGGGCGTCACTAAGTTTCAAGAACAAGGGGGGCTTAGCCCCAAGGGGAACACAGCCCCTTTAGGGGGGTCCGGGGGCATGCCCCCCCGGGAGAATTTTTTTCTACATTCTGTTAAAAATCCATCAATTCCGTGCACTTTGAGAGCAAAATGAAGAGGCTATGAAGAACTCCACACATCACATTAGTATCCTCTTTACTATGATGGGGCTTCCTCCCCTGGACTTTAACTGGACTAGATAATAGAAATTATAAAGAGTTCAAAAGTTCAATCTTGGTTGTTCAAGGGAATTAGAAGGATGCCCGATAACATAACCTATATGACAGTAGTCCTATATTCCTCTCTACCAAAATGTATTAATATATGCTTAGCCGCCAGAAGACGATGTATTTTGAGAAGTCTGCCGTGATATGCAATTTAAGTTAGTACAATGAGATGCAAAAGCTTCATCACTTTGGAAAAACACAAGTTTGCTGCTCAATACTTACTGTAAGCTCCGATTGCATTTTGGGAACAGCCTTGCAAGTAAAATTAGCCTTGAGATCTGATGGACTCACCTGTCCAACAGAGCTCCCCCCGGCTCACTCTCTGTGCGTCTTTAGCCTGATTCCTCTAAAATAAATAAATTTATTTATTTTATATTTATTTATTTTTTTTATATAGGCCAAAATCTCAAAATAGGTGTTGCCTCAAAGAGTTGGTGTAATGATTATTTATGTATTTAATAATAAAATGTTGCTTAATTTTTATGAAGCACCACCTTAATTTATCCAAAAGTGAACACTTGTTACAGTGCAGTCTCTGCTGTTACTGGAGATATTTTAGCGGACTATAGTCACTAGTTTTACCAGCATGGATGCATTGAATACTTAATTTACCTTTCTAAAAAACTGTTGAATATCCATGCTGTCGACTCAACCTGACTTTCGGCAATGAACTGTCAGTTGTTGCGTTAGCATTTGATGTGGAGATGGTGACAGACACGTCAAATGCTAACGCAACACCTGTTGCGTTCAGGAATCCTGGGAGATTAATATTACAATAATGGCAGGTTATCGAAATATAATTTAAAATGGCCACATTACATTGAATTTGATGCAATATATTTGCAAAAGTACAGGAAAAATAAATTATACTTTTTTTTAAATAATGCAATGAAATTATTTAGGGGGTCTAAAGACATTTTTAGGGAGGCTGAAGCCTCCCTAAAATAGGCCTAATGACGCCCATGTGCACATCTATATTTGATCACTTATTTTTTGACATTTTAGGGGAGGCTGAGCTTCCCTTGCAGTCTTAGACAGCAATCGCCTCTGTTTTATACAAATTATATGTATTCCTTTTTTTTCATAGCTGCTTCCACAAATGTCCCTCCTGATTTGCCGTACTTACAGATAGCTGGGGTTGGGGTTATAGGTTCATGGGGGGTTGGCATAGTAACAACACAGTTTACCACAATGTACTAGTTTGGCTCATTTGTAAACTGATGTTTTAAAGGCGTATATGCCATGTCATTAAGCAACAGAAACAAAAAAATTAGAGGTGTGGCACCGTTTCCCAGTTTCCCTTCGACGATGATGCTGCCTTATGGGGCCACACATATTGTACATGCCAGAAATCGCCCCCATTCACCACAACAGAATAAGACTTTAAGATGAAGTGTGTCTTCTGTTCATATTTAGTCTTGTTAAACCTCTGCCGTGGTCTTTTGTGTTTCTTAACAATATTTGATTAAAATAGAGCACTGAAGTGTGTCTTCCGCCATATTTAGTCGAGCCTGTATAACATTCTCATGCCCGCAGTAAACCGGGTGCGTCCTTGG